TAGATTTGGCAGCAGCCTATATACGAGTAAGAAAACAGGATCTTGACCTCAACACGGGCTCATAATTCAGAGCGGGGGGAGGGAAGTCACACAAGACAGTCATTTCTTTTCCTTGGGCACTGGCATTTTATGAATTAGAATCTTAGAATCTTTCTATGCATTTCTACAGTTTACACAGACTGATGAATTTGAAAGAACCTGAAAAATAGAATAAAGGAACTGTACTGCCAGTCACAGCTCTTAAAGGAACAGACAGGAGAATAATTTGTAGCCAAAACAGAGCGAGGAATGAAGGTCTTGACCTTCCCCACTTATTTCATGGAGAAGTGATTTATCGTACACAAGGATATCAACCTAATTATGAAAGGGACACTGATTTCAAAAGGGAAAAAACTAAGATTACATAAAGTTGATTCAACTAAATATTTATAAGAGATGTTAACACAACTCATGGGGCTAAAAATCACCTTTTGGGTATGCAAGAGATATCCATGAAAAAAGAAAATTTTACAGAAAAGCAAAGGCAAGGTCCATCGGGAAGCAATTAGTATGTAAAAACAAATATAGCTTATTTATACCACATAGGACATGACAGTGTTATGATTAGATCAACTTGGCTAGGTAAGTGTACATCATACTAGCCCAGTTGTATCTGAAGAGAACATTATCCAGTTTAGGAATACAAATTTAGAAGGAAACCATCCTTAATAAAAAGGAATTAATAGCAGCTTAAACGAAATAAAAACAATTCCTAGATCAGCAAGACTAACAGAATTTACTAAATATTGATCATAGATAATTTTTTGCCAGCCTTCTTTAAATGTATAAGTAAATTCTATCAGTGCAGGAAGCCATCAATATGCTGGAAGTTCACAGGAGCGGTTCTCAATGAATACTAAAGAAATACCCCCACAAGATGATCCATGAGAACCCTCTGGGAAGGAGAGCACATCACTCTGTACTGAGAAAATCAATGATGAATGGAGTAAATTCTATCAGTGCAGGAAGCCATCAATATGCTGGAAGTTCACAGGAGCGGTTCTCAATGAATACTGAAGAAATATCCCCACAAGATGATCCATGAGAACCCTCTAGGAAGGAGAGCTGCACATCACCCTGTACTGAGAAAATCAATTATGAATGGAAAGACATGTTACATCTTAACATGATTTGTATGCCACTACCTGCCTTTGCGCAGCTTGCTTTAGCTAATAAGTCTTATTTCTGGAAACGAAGAGAGTCATTTGAGGCCTGGATTCCACTTTCCAGTTTTTTTGGTCAGTGAACCACAGCACAAGATTGTAGTGACTGGTAGGGTAGCAGCTTCCACCTAGCCCAAGTAGGGCGATGACTTCACGCAAGCACACCAAACACACATAGTGAACAGTCCTGTACTTCTACGATATGCAGGTGGGCAAGTGGACCCCTGGTGTAACGGGACAGGAAGACCTACAGACAACCCAGCTCTCTCTCCCTACAGGACAGGCTTCTGCAATAGTTACTTTCCAACACTGTCAACGAAAGGAAAAGTAGATACCTTCCCAGTGAGATTATTGGTTCTGAGAAAACAAAAGTCATCTTGGAATGATGGACGACATATTTCTAATTTAATTGTTTAGAAACCTATTCTTTAAACATGGATTTCAATCCTTACCCCTTAGTGAAACCAGCAACATACCATGAAGTTCACAGCACACTAAATACAATCTGATATAAACACCATTTTTATGGAGTAATCTTTTGCAGGTTATGTATCAAATAAGTAATTTGGAAATAAAAATTTATCCAGGCCTTAAAAAATTACTATAAACAAGCTAATTTAACGGGAAGCATTTAATTCTGTTGTCCTTTACCATTCCTCAGCAGCAACCAGCTGCAAAGCATGTGTGTCTAGCTAGCACAGAAAAGAAAGGGGGAAAACAATCTCATAACTGTGAGGCAGCAGCAGCATTAGCAGACTGCGTATTTCCCAGGTAGGGAGCCATTCCTTACCTGCACTTACTCTGACTTGGCAATTGACCTTTGAACGGCAATCCTATGACACTGAATACTCTTGTTCTCACACTTTCCTAAAGTTTAAATAGCCCCTCATCATGTCAGAGGGAAAAGAAGCTACCACTGGAGCTGGTCTCCCAGACCTTTGGCACTGAAAAAGATTCAAAAGACTAAGTGACCTGAAACTGCAACCCAACAGCTAGGATGCTACTCATTTCCTTTGACTTATTTGGTATCCATAGCACAACTACAGCTAAAATGGTGAGAGAAGATGAAATCTATGCAAGATCAAATCTTAGAAGAGATGCCTATCCATTGCAGCTCTTCCTCATGGAATATTGGAAAAGATACGGCTTTTTTTTTTTTTTTTTTACTAAGAAAACTGACAGCCAGATGTTAAAATAGGTTAAGGGTAGAAGGGGATTTAATTTGGGAATAAATCGCGATTAAATTATCTTTATTGGCTTCCATCTTGGTTCTAACAAAACTCTCCAAGCAAATTCAGTATTGCTTGCAGCTGCATGGCCTTTTCAGATTTTTTGCAAAGAAAAAGCAAGTTTTCCTTTCAATTTTAAGGGCAAAGGAGTTATTTCTTGCTTGTTGTGTCCAAAGAAACAGTACATATAACTGCTTGCATTTCTTATTTTATTTCATTGGAAAAAAACCTCCCAGTGCCTAAAGCTAAAAGGCTCCTTTGATCTAGTTAAAAACCTTATCTGAATTTGCCATGGAAATACTGAGGGTGCAGTTTTAAAGCTAGAGGGCTGGAGTTCTTCCTTCACTGCTCATTCCCAGCTCTATCCATCTTCTGCCTGCTCCTGGCACTAGCACTCATGCAGAGGCAATCCTGAGTTATTTCAGGAAGCTGGTAATGATTAAGATTTACCTCAGGAAAGTGATCTTTTCTGACCAAACCAGCTCTCTGAACTGGCTTGCTGTATGGTCCTATGATTATAAGGTGGCTCAGGGGCAGGAACACAGCAATTGAGACTTCAACTGGCTTACACTGCAGCAGTAACTTGCTCTCAGTCTTGTGGAGGACCACGTACTCCTAACCCCAACAGTTTCAGCACTAGCACGTGTAGTTGTGCAGCAATACACCACCAACATGGCTGAAAGACTCCCTTGCCCCACCAAGGTAGTCTGCAAGCAGCTGTAGAGCTTGTTGCTGGCATAGCCACTAGGATGGATTTAAACAAAAGCATTTTTGTGGCAGAAAGCAGAAATTTCACAGCTCTTCGTGATGTGACTGCAGAAAGGTTCTTACCTTTTAAGATGTTTTGATAAAGAATAAGATGCAGGCAAACACCTTTCTGTGGAAGCTCAACTAGTCAGTGTCACCAGAGTGATCTGAGCACTACCCAGCAATACTCAGCAATCTTACTTTCACTTTATTTGATAGTCTTCCTGACAGCAGAATCTCCTGCGTATGCTCCCCTAAAGTTTGTATTTTATGGACTATGTTACCACACATCCTCCCCGTTTCACAAGGGTACTCCCACACAAGCCCATAAAACCGTGCTTTGTTACTTACATCGCATGTCTTGGACATGAATACATTATCTTTACCAAGGTGATGCTAGCAGTCCCATAGTCAGTCCACTAATTCAGCCTCCCTTGGCTGTCTCTATACTCAGCTCAGAGCAATAAATACCTTATGCAGTAAAGTCTGAAAAACATGGACACTTCCTTTTGGCTCAGTGCACACGCTGCAACAGCAATACATTAATGCTTTCCAAAAGCCATACCATTAGAAAAATGTTAGTACACAGAAACATAAAAACAAAGCACAACCATTTACTTTAAGTACTACTGACACAGAAGGAAGAAACAGATGGATTCAGGGACTGGCATCATGACAAGAAGAAATATTATTTCTTGTGAAAGTCTGAGATCGAATGGGCAAAATACTCTGGAACAAAGAGCAAAGGAAATCAAAATTTGTTTATTTCAAGAGTTACAGGATAAAGTTAAAAGCTTGTATTCACCTGAAATTTAGAGTAGATCATCACAGCAATTGAAAGCTATTGGACCTTTCCCTAGAACACCAGCTCAAAGTTCCTCCATGACCTCTCTAGCCGCAGCCCATCTCAGAATTATGCTGTGCTGTATAGTTGAACTCTTTCTTTCCTTAGTGAAATACCCAGTTTCCTACTCATGCTTTTCTTATACTTTAAGATAACTCTTGAGGCCTGTTATGGCTAGAAACCTTGTGAGAAGCTGCCAGTCCTGTCAGCTCTTGTCCCCACCCCCGTGAATGATCTAAGCCCAAAGACGAATTCAAGCTCCAGGGTCGCTAGGTTTTATAGTACACTCAATAACGTGCAAGTACAATGCAGTAAGCATGTTTCCTCTACCCATGATTTAATATTATTGAGGATGCTGGTTAATTTGAAAAAAGCGCACATAAGGATAAAGAAAAATAAGCAGCTGCTAGAGGCTCACAATTTCAGCTACCGTGGTTTTGTATAAAAAAAGCACAGTTCACTCTTAACAGAAAGCTCCCTTCACCGCAGGACTGTGACAGCTATGATTTAACGACACAGCAATCTCATGGGTATGGGTAATGAAGCCCCATGCTCCACTATCTGATCTCCTCTATGGCCTGTGACTTTCACATCCACAGACCTGTCTTCAACAATCCCACCACTGATTTTGTCCCAATTATTTGAAGATTTACTTCAATAAAGAGAAATGTTTGAAGTGACACCTGGGAAAGCGAAACACACAGCAAATGTGGTAATACATTTCAACACTGCTGTACTCCAACGAAGTTCTATTTTAAATGCCTACTTACACACTCCCATTCCTTAATTAAAGTTCGCTTTGCAGAACATAACTGCATTTTAGACTGAACTGCACTTAGTCTGCTGTGGCTTCCATTAGAAGAACCATAGTGCCATACAAGGTCAGTTCACATACATGCAAAATTTAACAGAAGTTTAACTGTTATACATAAGTAGCAATAACTATGTTAGAAACCTGTAAGAATTAGTTAAGCTCACCTCTTTATCCATACTCTCTAAATCCTCTTTACATAGGGTGTACAGGGGCATCGTCTCGGACATACTTGGCTGGCGTTTCCGCTTCGACGGACCAGGCTGCTCTTCGTTTTCACCTGCTGGTAGGTCATCTTCTTCAAACATCTGCTGCTGATGTGGTTCAACAACTCTGAAAAGTTTCAGGGGTTCCACATAAGAAAGATGTACTTGATTCACTGCTTGTCTAGAAATAAAATCCTATAAACAAATTATGACTGCTGATTATCAACTACTTTGCTTAATAGGGTTCTGTGTTCATCACAGAAGAAAGATCAAGTCTCCCAATGATTGCTTCTATTTTCAGTCTGATGCCTTAAGTTCTGACTCTACCTTTGTCAAGGTACTCACTCTCCTCTCTTCCCACTGTTCTTGTCAGTAACCACCAAACCTCTCCTGAAGCCAAGAGCTTCAGCAGCTGCAGACGCACCGCCCTTAAAATACTTTCCAGTTTGTGCTCAGGTGGAGTTTGTCTATCACTTCACACATTCACCATTCAGGAGACAATTCTTACATCCTAATACATTTTTCCTGATCTATGTTATGCTTGTATTCTTCAGAGTGGATCTTTCTATTTCTTAACCTTACAGACCAAAAGTCTGCAAGGAGAAAGCTCATTTCCGCAGCCTCAAATCTCCAGATGTTCTCCAGATGCTACGCTTGGATGAGATGCATAACAGACCATATTGCTTTTTGGCTAGTGTAGTCACATACAGTAGCATTTTTTCCTAGTTTGTATTTTATTACCTCTACGTACTGTATTTAACCAGAACACAGTGATACAAAAAGGAATCACAAAGTGTTCTGAAAAATGGATAAAATAATGATAACATCATGTGTAATAAAAGTAGTAATAGTAATAAAAAGATAGACTACCTCTAGAACAGCAGCATACTTCTACCTTTCCCGAGTAACTTTTTCTGTGCACAGTACTTAACTACTCAAGACTTGTAGAGGTTAAACCTGCTACACACCACAGTTTAACGATGAATGTTGGGCTGTCACACTAACCTCCTGGAACACATTACCGCAGCTCAGCACCACTCAGAATCCTATTCAAAGATCTCGGGTCATAAAGGTCATAGGTCACAAATTATTTATGTTAGCCATAAGACTGTGTGTGGGGAATGATTACCACAAGGACATATAGAAGTGACTTTAAAAAGATCTAAACACCAAGGTTTTTTTTTTTCCTTAGATCAGTATTTCAATCCCAGAACGTATGAAAACTGAAAGCCACATGAAGCTGTCAGTGGAGCTCATTCTGAGGGCTCATCTTTCCTAAATACACAACTCTCTCCCCTCAGATCTTATAGATAGGTGCAGGAGATGTGAATTCAGTTTTTTGATTTGGGGTGAACAGGAAAGAGTCGAGCCATTACTGTGCTCCCCAGAACTGCGCTACCTGCTGCAGAAGCCCCCCATCAGCCCAGCACTATTGAGCAATGCAGCAGAAATGTGCCCTTTTGCACTCTGTCATTTCTGTACAGTAGAACTGACTATGAAGCCAAAACACAGATTGGGATGTTGTGGAAATTAACAAACCAAACTGTTTCTCTCTGAGTTTTTCCTCACAGTGTAACAGTTTTGGGATTTTTCTTCCCCTCTACTAAATGTTCTCTGTTTTACAAGACCACACAGTTTTCTTCTACTATTTAACTGTTCTTAGACAATAATTTTTATAGGTAAGTGTGGAAAAAAAACCCAAACGCATTCCACAATCTTTTCCAAAGGATCTTTTAAAATAAGGATTTCCACACCTTTTTAATAGGTACTCTAGCCAAGAGAAACATGATGATGCTATTTACATTCTTAGGAAAACAGTCAAAAAAAAGGGATAAACACCTTCCACAACTGTATCAAAAACATGACAAGCTTGACCATGCCAAGAATTATACACAAGTTGTGTAGCAGACAGCCAAGCCAATTTTCTTAGACCAGAAACAAATGTAGTATTTTTAAGAAAACATTATTATATTGATGACAGCAAGAACTCCTCCTTTTGCAGAATAAAATGCAAGATCATCCTTGATCATATTATTATGAACAAATATTAGCTGTAAAATATCTGTATTAGTAGCTTCTAAAGCCTTCTGCCAGATTTCCCCCCCCCGCTCCGTATTTCCAACTGCTACTAGATTAGCAACACTAGGACTTCTCAAAACATTCCAAAAAACAATATAAAACAAAGACTTTAAGGTTTGTAAGAAACATTTTTATTTTATCAAAGACATTTTTCAAGCTTGACATTTTCAGCTGCTTCTTGCCTTGTTTAAAATTTAGACATACAAATTTGCGATTTCACATTTATTTCCAACCAGATGAGATTCATGAGTACTTTTTCAAAAATAACACCACATTCAACCCTGCCCAGGTTGGTTTGAACTTGCCAGTCTTACATGCACAAGGACGTACACTACAACCCACCGCATGCAGGGTGGGTTCAACGTTTGTGGAAGTAACAAGTGTCTTAATGCTTTAATTAATAACAGAGTCAGGGTAAAAGCTAAAATAGCATTATCAACAAGAAAATGTTAAAATATTGAAATTCCATTAATTATTTCATTGTGGTACTTTTTATTTTTGCTGTCACAACAAGACTGATAACACTGCATAGGAAAAACTGTAACAATGTGTATGTAAATTAAGGCAAAAATTTTCAAAGTGAAATTATATATTATATGAATCTTAAAGAATTGCTTCAGCCAACATCTGGTTGAGACCTTTTCAAACCAAGAATTTGGTGCATCTTAGTATTATTTAAAACTAGATTGTCACTTTTAACTTCTCACATGTGAATTATATCCATGTTTTAAGCCTTGCCTCATCTGTTAATGTATTATTAGCATTCATTAGAGTTTAGCCTGTAATACTATTTGTTCTTTATTCTAGTCCCAGATGCCATTAGCATTTGCTGGTGGTTGTTTTTTTTTTTTTGGACAACACTACATTACTGTAATGTGTAGAATACAGTTTCTATATGAATATGCATATTGTGGAGATACATACGGAGTGTCAAAGCTCTGACATGCAGGTTATTTTTAAAGCAGAATCCTTCCTGTTCTCAGAGAAGAGCTCCTGACAACCCCCAGGAGCCAACAAGCAGCACTGCACTCCTTTCCAGTACAGCTACAAACTCTCTGCCACCCCTCCACTCAGTCTCCACCGGCTATGACAATAAGCAGGGGTCCAAGTCTCACGGGCTCAAACACAATGGCAAGATCTGTGCCTGTTGCACTAAGTGTTGACCAAATTCACTGCACCATCTGTAATTGACTGGTGATAGTTTTACTGCAAACTGTGTGTAGATATTTACACTAATCACATCCTATTTTAAATTATGTTTCAAGTTGCATCCCAGGAAGAAGCTAAAAACATTGAACCCAAAATAAAGAGCAAGAACTGAAAGAGTTCACTCTGATAACATGAAACACTTTTCAGCAGCCAGCCTTGCAAGAGTGTTATCTTCTAAGTGCCACACTGTCTATTCTTGCAGTAAGAGATTGAGTCCCACTGCTACGCCACACGTGGCTGCCATCTCCCCAAGCATTTCCTCCCACAGCAGTACAATCTTGCTGCCCACCCAGTGAAATTCAAAAATCAGACAAAAGTTTTAGAAACTATCAGAGAACATTATTGGAGGCTTTGACTACATCCACCTCTAACACGAGTAGTGTGAACAGCTTAAGTTCAATGGGTTAGTTACAAATACTTTAATCTTTCTGCTGCAGGTGAATATACAAGCACATGAAGTCTGTCAGCATACAAAATACATTGTCAACTACCAAGAAATTGCTGCACTACAGTATCTAGTAGAATATCACATCCATTTTTAAATTGGATGTGAAGCTTTATGTTTTTAAAACTATGAATGATGTATACATGAAGACAAAGGAAGGTGACGATACAGTACTTTGGCCTCAACTCTTGCCCAGTCAAAACAGAGCAAAGCTGTTCCTATTCAGCTTTTTGTTACTTCTTTAGATCCTTCATGCTCTGCCCACACCGTACTGCCTATCCATTCAAAGTACTTTAAGCAGTATTTGATCACTGCTTTCCTCCTAGACTTCACCAAGACACTCCTCACCATCTTAACTGAAGATAGCAGAACTGCTCTGAGGAATATAAACGTGCCCCAGTTAAGAGAACAGTTTACATGTCACTAATTTTACCACCAGAAAAAAATCAACAGGAAATGACGATGAAAATACTACTTACCAGCACATATCTTATGCTAATCTCTTTTTTTTACAGCTGCATAGTTATGGAGTGAAGATACAGCACTGAGTAATTGGATTCACTTAGATTAAAGCATCTAAACTCTGAGTGTTGACAGTCAAAAAAAAAATGCTTAAGTGAAATAAAATAAGGGAGTAGAAAGAAGACAGTCTCCCTCCACCCCCAAAACCTGTCTGGGGCTCTTAGAAACTCAACTAAGAGGACAGCTGAAGTGTATTTCTCTCATTTTCCATAAGATGTTCAAGTGAAGAAGCACCTCTGCATTAAAGAAAGACAGGCTTAGGTGTGGACGTAACTTCATCAAGTTGTTGACAAAAGGTAGAACAAACATCAAAATTTACTCCTTTTAAGGCACTGAACGATGCATTAATATGGACACAAACCACCTTCCTGAAGCATCTTAGAAGTGTCATGACAATTATATACATGCACAACCTTCCCAGCTCTATTTCTAGAAAAAATCTTTTCCACAATAAATGACAAACAAAACCAAAAGCTTTTCTGCTCCTCTCTGGATACATGCTGTGTCTTAGTTACTTTAAGTTTTTCCTGTTCATTTAACATGTCACAGTGAAGTAAAATACAGACTTTAAAAATAGGGTTAAAAAGGAACTGAAAACAAGATGTCTTCACAAACAAGAGACTCAAAAAACCCTGTGTTGACAGAAAGAAGGAAGCTGAAATAAAAAAAAAGCCTATAAAAAGATGATAACTGAAAAAAACCATAGGTTGAAATAATTTAGCAACAAGAAGATAGAGTGGAAACATAACAAGACACACTAATATACAAAACCTTTACAAGTGATACACTGCAAAAGTGGCAGGGGAGGGAGAAGAAAGGCAGAAAGCTGTGTGCATTTATCATTGTGCCTTGTAGTTTTTTAACCGTTTGGAAAATTGAACTGTTTTATAAACAACTGCTGTAGTCTGACCACATTGTACAAAGGAATTTTGATCACATTTGATCACAAAGAAAAGGTTCACCTTCAACTGGATATTTCTTTACCACTAGAGTCAACAAGTCTTGCTAAGCTTGTTATTATTCCAGGAAGTTTTATCTTTTACGTAGATATTTACAGACGAATTTTAGATATTTTGTGCATCCTTAAGAGAAGTGTTGTCACTGTAGCTCAACCAAATCCACAAATTGACAAGAGTCCAGATGCTAGCATTTGCACTTCAAAAAGCAGGCCAACTTCTCCTGCTAGTTTAGTGTCTTGATTTACTGATCTAAGGATTATGACCTAGCACTCACTCATAAGGCCTTATTTAGTCATAAGGCATTCAGTCAGTGACTTGCAGCCCTCTTCCACCACTTCTGATATACCTCCAAACCAAACAAAAAAGCTAATGTCCCATCTGAAGGAATTTAGTGAAGAGGAAAATTTCATAAAACAGAAGCCAAATTGTTTCAGTTCTGTTTTATAGACAAAAACCAATCCAGTATTCTAAGACTCGTTAAAAAACATCAGGCTGCCTTGCTTCAGAGATGAGTTATTCTAACATTCTTTAGAGAGCACGAACTACATGCTGTATTTATCTGTCTTGAGGTTTCTAGTCACACTTAGGCAAGGCACAAAAAGCATGTGGAATTCTAGCATCCTGATTTCCCTTCAGCTGACTATTCACTTTCACTCATTCTCCTGGCATTTTAGAAAGCAAACCAAGTAGCTAAAGCAAAGATGACAACTGGATCAATGTAAAGATAGTAAGAGTTAAATTTACCGCAACATCTGAAAATACGGTCAAAGTTACTCTTAATTATGCTTCAGGTACCTGAAGGATGAGTGTTCACCGTGAACTGGTAAGGCAACGGGAGGAGCTGGAGACTGGATGTACATCGACTGGCAGGAGGTCTGAGCGCCTTTCCTGATTAGTTTCCCAGTGTTAGGGTCATAAAGTCGAACTTCAGGACCAGGCTGAGACTTTGGATGGATGGGTGTTGGGTGAAACAGAGCTGTTTGAAACGCGGTGTGCGTATCAGGAAACGTGGCGGGGCTATTCTCCCTGTTGAATGAAGTTCAGAAAAAAATTTGCTTCAGCAATTTAAACGAGGTATCTAACCAGAATGTTAAAAAAAAAAAAGCATTTGATTTTTCTAAAGGAGAAAGTGTGTGTGTGTGTGAAATGGTTTGGAAGATTTCTGAAGACACACTGCTTTTCTCCCACTCCCATTAATTGTCTTGACATTTAAAGCTACTGAAATTGTGCTTCCAGGTAGTGACAACTGTGTACCTTGAGTAGCATGATAACCTGCATATATGCAGCAAAGAGAAAAGCATGCTATTGTATTAGATTTTTGCTCTCCAAATTGGCTCCGAGAGAAAAATAATCACACAGTATTAATTTGCAAGTCATCCAAACTCATTTATCAAAATACTAAGCTGCCTATGATCACCCTGCTGCATTTTAAAACATATTTTTAGAAGAGTCAGCAGAAACATTCAGAGATCAGTCTGCAGGAACCACCATTATGGCATACTACCCAACTATGATGAAGTGCCATCAAGACAAATAAAAGGAAGCAAATAGAATAATTTAAGGAAAAAACCCCAAGTAAAATGACATGTTATGCACCGTGAAAGCAGTGCTGTAAATAACCCAAACCCACCAATTAAACTGTATTGTAACAAATACCAAAAGTGTCACAAAACTGTAGTTTTTACCAATGCTTTCATGAATGTCTCTGAAGTAGTCTTGTAGCATCAGTACCCAAGGTCAACCAATTCTAAGTTTACTTTTTTTTTTTTGCTGTTCTTAAGCTCATTACATGCAAATATTTTCTCAGAGTTCATCCCTCACCTAGTTCATAAGTGCTCTGGACCAATAATTGCTGTATGAAGCAGCTTCATCAAGGTGAAAAATCAAAAAATTATGCTTACAAGTCACTGTCCAGATTTCTGCTGAGAACCTGGCAGTGTCAGGCCTCTGAGACAAGTTAAACATCCCATACAAATATTCCAGTTTGATTAAAAAAAAAATATGATAGCACTTCTAAAGTATTCTAGTCAAGCCGTAAGTAGGCTACATCTTTCTGAAGTTTTAGAAATCCTAGGTCTCTACCGAGTCTCCCATTTGGTAAGTGACCCCACCTCCAGACATTCCTACACTTGGTCTCTTCAGAATGTATGAGGACTTCCACATGCACATTCTGCCTTCAAAGGGCCGGTGTCTCCTAAGCAGGAAGGGAGCCTCTAGCCTACGCAATCACACCAGTATCACTTTAATACTGAAAACCCAATATGCTATGCCCCTTCCTGTCGAAACACAGGAGGGAAGGTCTTCCCTCAGTCTTGCAAGACGCTGTTGATCTGAGTCTAAACAGACAGATAAGAAGCAGAAGCTGGCTCTACATTATCTTCTCACGGCTTATTTTAGCCATGGAACTTTCCTAAAGCGGACTGTCCTTTAACAGCCCTCTGAATTCCTTTGTGTTAATGAAGTTTTTGGCTGTCCCTTCTATTTGCTGTCATCCTTGTGCACTAATTAGTTTTAACCCTTTCTCCTTCAACACTTTTTCTTATCATCCCAAAACCTTCTGTTCTTTCACTACTTCTTTTCTTCCACTTTTTGCCTCTACCTTCATGCCTTTCAACCCTTAGATGTTTCTGCTATAGTTTTCTTGTTTGTCTCATCCTCCTCACTACCAAGACTAGGAAACCAACGCCACATTTTACTAATTTGGCATGTTAAGGGAGTGTGTACTTTTTTTTTCCCCTTCCTTTGGCAGGATGAACGATCCTGTGTCTTCAGGAAATCCTGTGGCATTCCCTGTGTTAGTCTGTGGATGAAGTGACAAGGACAACTGCTCCACCAGAAGACAGCATGAACAACGACAAACTATTGGTACCACAGGTTTCTCCTGATACTGCTAGATGCTGACCTGTCTCCTGACCCTTTAATAGTCCTCAGTTTAAGCAGCATAGGAAGGGACAAAAAAGGAGGGCATCTCCATGCAATCTGTAAGCATTGCACACCATTCTGAATTTGTCAGAAACTGATTTTACAGCTGCATCAACAAGTTCGTATCTCTGTAGGAATAACCTATTTTCATGGTCCCTACTCCCCAGAGTTCCCACTTACCTGTGTGTTTTGATGTAGTCATCCTTCAAGGGGAAGAGCTGTTCCTCAACCTTGTCCCAGCGCTCCAGACAGCTCCACAGCCAATCAGGGTTTACAACATGGAGGTCCTTGCAGTCCTGAGCTTGACGTACTTTTTCTGTGCCTATTACAGGGTTAAATGTGACATTACAGTGTTCCCAGAAACACAAAAGACAGTTTTAAGCACGCAGTAGTTTAAGAAGAACGTTTTGTGATCTATCTCAATGGAAAAAAAGAAACACCTCTCCACAACCCAAGAAAACAATCACAGCTGATAAAAGTGAGGCTAAATAAAACATGATTGCTTCAGTCTCAAGCTGGATGAAAGTATTTGTAACTTCCTGAAGCACTGCCACTGTGAAAGTAGTCTGCTGAAATTAATCCCCATGGAAAGATCTCTACATTTCCGTGTTAACTAACCAAACAATACAAACACACTTTGGCATTTTCTCTCCTCTATTTCTGTTTCTCAGAGTCAAAGCAGCAGCAACTCTTCCATGCCATTCAAGCCTGACATCAACTTGTCATACTAGCTTTTTTATGCCGTCCCCTGTACACACAGTATGCTACCTTTTCACAGCCAGCCACCCACTCAACCTCCATTTGCCACAAGTAGGGGCAAAGCAAACAAATGGATTATTTTGTGCCGAAAGGGAACAACGAATATGAAGTTAGATGTGGCAGGCTGGCACAAAGTCCACAGGAAACCATCAACAATGAGGCACGATCTCAAATTTCACCCCCTGGAGAACACCGAACAAGAGAGAAACTCAGTAGAGCTGCTATAAATCTTTACTAAGAAGCATCAAAACCAATAAGCAAAAAGCAGCAAATAAAATAAAGGTTGAAATTAACCTTCAAGTGCAGTCTGTTCCCAGAAACAGGTGGCTGTCCAAATGTTTCTTCTATTCGACTGGAAAAATTAATTTTACCAATCGTGCTACTTGTTTCAGCATATCTCAAAGATATCTATGGAGGGACTGAACACTTGGCAACAACCAAGTGATATAATCTGCCAGTAAATCATTAAATAATTAAATATGCACTAGAGAAAAAACAAGGATTGTGACCTGATGTATCTGTGCTTGACACTTACACGTGGTATGTTTACACTGCACAAATACTGGTGTAGCTGGAATGTGATAAAGAAACTCTTGATCTGACCATCTATCTCTCAGCTGAAATCCATGACTTCCCTTTTTTTAATATCCCTTTAATTTACAGTATTTCATCTTATTTACACATTATTTAAAATGCTTACCAAACCAAATCATTATTTCAAATTCTGTCTTGGTGCAAAGACATTTAAATATACCTAATAATGCACTTCATTTTTTTGTTTAGAAATGCAAAGTAGAAGGAGACTATCCAGAACTAAAGACATAAAGGGTTATAAAATAACTTATAGCCCTCTAGGTTCAAGAGCTGAAGGTGAAGAACACATCACTTCAAACACTACTCACTCCTCCTGTTGAAGCCTGTCAATTCTGCACGAAGACACTGGGGTATCCTCCTGCAGATGCTTATAAAAACACATTACTCCAGTCTAGTTTACCTTCCTTACTTTGAATTTTTTTTTTTTAGTTAAGCTTTTGATTAAAAAAAAAAATTTAAAGCTAGAAATGATGAACCCTTGAGTATTTTCACACATGTGCCTTCAGGAATGAAGGCTCCAGGGGAAAAAAAAAAAGTCTAATTTCAGAACAATTCTGACAAGGAAGCAAGATCAGTAAATTGATTTGATGGTTTCAACATAGTTCCCTCAAGTTTTCTCTGCATAACTGTTATCTAACAATATGACTTTACTTGTTTAAAGTAAGATGATAGCCTTGAAGTACCCATACTTCTCCACACAGTTTGAAGATGAGAGCAAACTGTTAACAGCAAACACCTAAAGACCTGTGTAAAACCTGAACTAGAATCTACTGGGGTAGACAGATCTGCTGAAATGCACTTGAGAATTCACCTAACTAGTTTGACAGTTTAGTTTATCTAGATTTGTGTACATTCAAAAGACTAAAACAGGAAGGGCAGGAGAACACTGCCCTTTACCAAAGTGCTGAAAGCTTCTGTTTCCCTACTTTTGTTCCCAAACCCAGCAGAATACAGGAGTAGGGCTACCTTTTTCTCTATCTTTAGATACAAGTATGTTTTTTCCTTGGATTTAGACTGAGATAAAGACGCTCTATGCAAAAATACATTTCTTCTATTTTCAGCAGCAAATGCAAGCAATTCCATAGTTCAGCATTTAAAAGCTGTACAGCAAATGTAAGGGTTTTCTCCACGCTAGTATCTTTGCAATAAAAAAGTGTTAATTTAAGAATACAAGATAAACAAAGATGAGTACTTAAAGTCCTTTCCAAACCACAAATGATTTAAAATTATTTTACTTTTTGCCATGAAATAAAAATAAAATCACAGTACAACACTGACTGAAAGCAATTTTAGAACTCCAATCATGTTAATCCCAGCACACCTTTGCTGTTTCAGAGGTCTTAACTGGCTAAAAAACAGAACTCTAAGAAGGGAGGTCAGTGCACCCAGATCATTCATCCCCTCATACAAGAAAGCTGTTTTTCAATTAACTGTCATTTACAAAAGTAATCAGTGACCCAGAACATTTTCATGCAACAGTTGCTGGAAAAGAGCCAGTTTAGAGTGCCAGAAGGAACTTCCACAGGAGGAATTATTATTAATATAACCTCAATAGGAATTATAGAAACACCTGCAGTTAGAAAGAGGTAAATATAAAGTTGTATTTAGTTTATACACAGGGTATCTTTCAGAGGTGAGAAAGCAGAACTTCCGAAGGAGAATCAGATTATGAGATCTGGGGGAAAAAGGATTAAAAAGTGAAAGACATGGTTTAGAAAATGCTTTCTTTTGAGAATAAAGGAGAAAAGCAGTGACAACGTAATAGAACAAAGAGGTCATAAGACAGTTGTTATAAAGGGGATGCTGAAATCCAGTTCATAAGCATAGGAGTTTCAGGAAAAAGAGCAACAAGAGCAAGAAGTACAGGGGAATTTTAGGTCCTTGCGTCTGCTATTAGATATTTGATTCAGTACCAAACGTGACTTGCAATACTGCCCACATAACAACTAGGAGCTGATTGAATATTACATACAGTAGCACGTTATTTTCACTAGTAAGCTTACAGAAGAGTTAAGCAGAGTTGCTGGTACTACTGGATAGACAAACTGAGCTTTTAATACCCTGAAGAGCTTATCTCATACTGTAGTAAGCATACTACACAACCATAAAACTGCACCTTCATCTCATTTTAAATCTGTGAAGTTATGCGAGATTGCTTCCTCCAACTATTATTAAAACTGATGTTTCCACATTGATGATTTTTCAGGTGCTTTATCCTTCTGCCTGTTCTATACCCATACACCTTCTGCATTCAAACATATTTGATTATTTCATACCAGATGTATGCTGAGGAGCTAAGTAAATTTTTCTAGTCAACAGAAGCCTTAAACATGAATGCCAAATTGACATTATTTTGTCTGAAACACTTATGGTTCTGAAATACAGCTCCGTAAGGCACAAGTCATTAACATAAAATTAAAGTTGGCAACACGAAGACCAGTGTCTACCCAAACCCACCTCCTGAGGCTCAAAAGCCTTACCTTTCTCACCTCTACAACACCAACACTTTCTGCTTCCTCCCCTTTTCTAAATCTCAGCTGCCTATTGCACACTCCAGCATACTGAAAGTTGCATACAACTGTATCATCTCAGGGGCTGCCTTCTTTTCCAGCTGACATCTTCACAAATCAAGATTTCACATGTGTAATGTTCTTAGAGCAAGATTTGGTAGAACACCAAATTTAACTGGGTAGGAGAAATAGTACTGCAATACTTAATCCTCACCTTCTCCTCTCTCTTTCCCCAGCATAACTTCCCCTTCTGGAAGTATGTGTATTAAGAAGAAACAGCAGAAAGGATTTTAATCTATCCAAACAACAGTTCTTCTGATGCAGTTAGGAACATCTGAATCATCCATCTGGGCTAAAAATCACTTGGAGAAAAATTGTTTTTCTGGACTACCTTTTCTTGCTTTATTCTCCTCTAAATCAAGCTTTCCTTACTTCAAACTCTATTCTAAAACTGTTCCAAAAAGTTAAGGTGGCACACAAGGTTTCCCACATGAAGCAGCTAAGTTTCAAATTCATCATCACATCTACCCTCTGATAGACACAACCTGAAGCACATAACATTGGGAAAAGGTTATTTTCAAGCCGGGGGGACACATCAATTCTACTTTTGAACTGGCAAACAAAGGTCAAAAAGACAAAAAAGACTCCTATTAATCTTGACAACCAAACTCAATAAATAGCAACAGTAAACTCCTACAGCTGTTCTCTAGGACATACGGTTTGGCTACAGCGGGTTTTTTTGTCTCATCCGAAGTATGGAGCACAGTAGGCACTTGAGCAACAGAGATAAATGAGACTTGAGCTGTATGTTTACGAAGATGAAGAAACATCATACTGCCTATTTGGCTACACTCACATTACCAAGCTCAACAGGGAGATCTGCAGGGCAAAAGGGTGCTGGAGATGCAACACCCACCCCATAAGCATTTTGGGAAACTTTGCTTTGCACTGGCTCTGCCGGCTCTGTGGGCTGTGTTGTGTTACGAGTAGTAATTTGGCAGGAGACAAACCCCCTTGCTTTCCAGTTTATCCTCAGGTATTAGAGGGGCTGGGGGGCGGCTAGGTTTAAATCCTGAATAATGCCCAATTTGACCCTACGATTCCAGTCTCTCAGATTCACTCAGCAGTGTGCTGTATTCCCGTCCAGCCATTATCTGTGAGATGACACGGCACCCAGTGAGAAACGGTGTGACTGGATACTTCAAACAGTGCAGTTTATCTAAATCAACAGTACAGGTTCTTTGTGGATTGCCGGTGATGAATACACTGTCTGCAAACTGTGTATACACAAATGTCAAGATTATAAATTACCAAAGCGCTAAGTTGAAAGCAGCTCTATAGAGATTTCTAAGTCCTGAAAGAGCTCTCCAAGAGGTTCAAATCTTCTGCCTATAGGGACACCTTTGGGTAAAGAAAGGCTCAGCTCGTCAACTGATCCCAGATGTCAGAGGTCCACGATGGTGTCTCCCCTGACACCCCCCTCTTTCTTAGGCTACTTTTATATTGCTTTTTTACCTTCAGGATGAAGCTTGACTGGCCGCAGTCATATATACCTTTGTTAGGATTGGTTCGGTTTAAAGGTATAAGTTACCTAAAATTCACTCCTCAGTACTGCGTAGTCTCATCTTGGAGGAGGGTAGCCTTTGGGATGGAGGTGTGTTTTTGTATTATAATGACATTATAATGAGCAAAGTTTGCACAAAGGACAGCAGTTCATCAAAAGATGGCAGACTGTTGGCTCAGGGTAGCAAAAGTACAGCTTGTCAGCGTTTGAAGTATCACTAAATTCCCATCTCTGCACCGTTAACACAGAGCCTGGCCACGGGGTCTTCACTCCGCTCCACCCTCCGTGCGGTTTCCAAGGTTGCAGGTTATGTTGCTTAGGGAACCATCGTGGAAGGAATTCCATGCATACCAGCTGCACACCACCTTGGAGGCCTCCTCAATATTATCTCTTTCCTTAATGTGCGAATAATTCTGTATTTTTAATATAAGTTTAAATTTCAAATTACATCCAGTGATTATCCTACAGGCTGAATGCCCGTGAGTGCTCAGCTGACTGCACCCTCTAATTCAGTCTCACCCACAAGGATCCCAGCTACAGGCTTGAAGCTGTGCCAGGACAAAACAACGTACATGACAGGAAGTGACCACCAGAGTCACTCTCAAAACACTCTCCTGATTCCAACACACCAAAGCTAACATATCCTTATGAGAGTTTGTAACCACGTTGCCAGACATTGCTTGGAAAATCTGATCATTAAAAGTTTATGTCTCTTAAAGCTGTTGCTACATACAAATTTTGATTTATGATCAAAACCTGAAGCGCTTCAACAACGTTAATCTAAGACAGATGTTGTCCAGACCTCAGTGTTTTGTCCTACAAGAATGAAGTGATCATGAAAGAGTGATGTTTGTGCTGTTTGGGGGCTACATCCAGAGCCCAGCTTCAACACTGCACTATGCTTTGCCAGCAAAAGCAACTCGCTTACCTGGCCAGCACCTGAGTTCAGAGCAGTGATTAACTGCATATTTTAAAGATGTGGTCTTTGAAAATGTTCTTCAGAAAAAAAATACCTGTGGACACACAGCAGGCATGTCTGGTGAAGACCTCACACCAAGTCACAGGACAGGTTAAAGAGACTATCAGCTGGCAGCTTTCTCTTCTCTCTCTCAGTACCTCAGAGCCAGGCTCAGGAGTAAACCTTTTTTAAGTAGGTAGATGAGGATGAATAAAAGCAGCCATAGTTCATAGTACAACTGGTATTTTAAGCAATCTGATATTTAATGATATTAAGCAAAATTTGTCATAGGCTGTCACCAAAAGTAAGGAAATTACTCCCTTATAGCTTTCAAAATATAGGAAGAGACAAATTAAATATACTTTGAAAAAAGAAAAGAGAACTTCAGGGCCTACTGACATATTTCTGCTCCTACTCCACTCAAATAATTTTTAAGTGACCTGAACAGATCTTCTCCACTAGCAAAAAACTAGATACAAAAAATCAACTACAGTACCTTTCATTTGTGTAGTAAGGAACATGACAAGGTTTATGAAATAGAGTGGTAAGTAACTGCTTAGCCACGTGTGTACACAGCTATAGCAACTCATCATCCAGTGCAGTTTACTGTTGCTTAAAGCAAGCAGCAGATGTTTCAAAAACTGAAGACTTACCCAGCCCACAGGTAAGTGGACATGACTACAAGGTAGCCTTTTTTCAGTCACTCAGATTTATGAAAGCTGATTAGATGATACCAAGATCCTTGTCTTTTCCTCCCTATATATTGAAATAGAATCCTAATTTTCTCCAAGGACAAGGATTGATTTATTTTCCTAAATCAAAGCATCTGCATCTGTAGAGAAGGTGAGAAGTATATACAAAGAATATAAGAAATTCACATTATTTACTGCAACAGGCTGGCAATAACGCAGTAAGTGCAATCTAAAATGGGATTCACTAGCTGTTCATTCCATACACCAAGCTATGATGCGGTCACTTTCCAAGGAGGAAAACACAAAAAAACACCACCATCCATCCCTCCACGACTGCAGGAGTATTGTTTCACACCGGCTGCTTCTCTGTTTATATCCTCTGACAAATTTTTCCCCTGCCTTCAAACCTCAAAAGATAACAGTATTTTCTCCCACCGCTTCTGCAGATGAAGTATATGCCATTTACTACAGCTCAGCTAACGTGAAGTAAACATGTAAGTGAACTTGCTTGTCTGAATTCTAAGCCTGCTGCTGTTAGTGGAGTCATCCAGAAATAATGACCTGACAGGTACATTTGAAAATCACCTTTTCATGACCATGGAGGGGGGGGAGGGGAAGAGAGAGAGAAAGAAAAGAGAAGCAGAAAACCACTGTCTGATCTCAGGTAACTGACTTCTGAATAAAGCTCAAGAAGAGACACACATTTATTTCCCCCTTTCACCAGCAACTGAGCATCAAGCAGCGCTTCGGGTATCCACCGCAGGAGGCAGAGATGCAGTGTTCATATGGCTCACCAGCAGCAAGAGACTTGTGGAATTTGCTTACTAACAACACAAAATCAGTATGAAAATCATGTTGACAACTGAATTACCACAAATCCAGCTGTGACAGGACATAATTGATATCCTTAAGATCTGACCAAACTTCAGACTTTCCCCTCATAGAATTAGGATGATGCAGCCATCTAACTGCCATCTAACCAGAGGTGAGACAAGAGTATTCAGCTGAAAAAAACCAAACACAAAAAACCCCACACAAACGCACATTCCAAAACCAAGTTAAAAAAGCCTCAACTGCTTCTCATTATGACATGCTGTGTACCTTAACATAACGTTATTCATCATTTTTTTTCTCCTAGAGAAATGTGTATGTTTGGGGGGATGTGCGTGTGTCTCATTTACCTTTATCCTATCAATTTTACCACATCACACAACAGTTGTATCCAACAAACTACATTCAGAAGCCGTCCAGTGTAAGTTAGACACAGCAACTTTGAAAAGAAGCATTTTAATATTTGAAATTGAAAAAAAACATGAGTTACACTGACAGCTATTACATCTCCAGTAAAGCACGACAAACTTGTGTAATTCTTTGCGGGTACGACTATCGTTATTCCTGCAGTTTTAAGAGAGCTGTTCAATAACTGTAGTAAAACTACAAGGTCCCTCTCTGATGCATGCACTGATTTTAACACTTTCCATTCACTATTTCATCTATCATGCCGTCACAAATCAGAATCCCAGCTAATCTCAATGAAACTAATTCCAGCTTCTTCTGGTTTTTAGGCTGGTTTTACTACTTAAATGCACAGCTACATCAGGACAATTAATCCAAGCTTGCTACTTCACCGCAGGTCCATCGGTACAGTTTTTATTCTGATGCTAGGTCAATACTGCAGCCCCTTCTTGCTACAGTTGGCCCTGCCAACTTTTTAATACAAGCTACCTGTGCTTTTTGGCACTGTACCATGCATTGAGATAACAAAATGAGCTAAGTTTACACTAGCCTAGAAAATACAGCCTTATTATTTTGTAATTTGTTTGAATTCCATACAAAGTGAAACTGAACCATGAGAGGTGATATCTGAGAAGCCAAGAAAGCTAGCATTGCTATAACTTTATAGCAAGACCACTATAAACTTTTCTCTGACACTAACCTTTAAGTTTCTGTTCAACATCCTTAATAGTCAAAGACTCAGTATCACCAACTCTTGATCAAGAGGTGAGACATGACACATTACATCAGGGGTTATTTAGCAGGTCCTCCTTTTAATAATGAAAAGCCACACCTGATGAAATAGTATAAAAAAAGCCTTTAAAGGCTTCTAAGTTGTTTTAGAAAGAATACTCGAATTTCAATTCGAATCTGAGTCACATTAAAGCCTCTAAGTTCTACAAAAAACCACTCAAGGCATGAATGAACAGAAAAGCTTGTGGAAAACCCAAGTCTCATTTACCTACCTGTCCTTGCTGCAATGAGGTGTGTTGCTTTATTAGGATCATCAGCACTTAGTACTAGATTCTTCACAATTTTAGCTCCGAGTGCTGTGGCATGATAGTGTTCCCGTGTTTTCTCAATGGGAAAGTTTGTTGGGTAGAGTCCACTAAATATTATGGTTACATCTGCCAACACTTTACTTTTCAGTTCTGGTACTATTTTTTTGATGTCTGGAATTTCCTCAATCTCTTTTTTCAGGTATTTATCATACTTTGTGTAATAATCGGTGTGAACTCGCACGAGTATCTCTTCGAGGTATATTAAATGGTCATCATTATCTGTATCATCCTCTTCCTCTTCTTCCTCCATACTCTGGTCTAAAGACTCACCCATTGTAATTCCAGACTGTTCACTATTCTGAGACTCTGTTTCAGCTTCCTTCTTGTCTGCACATCCATTTCCAAAATCACAAAGGCTTTCCTGTTCACTTTCTTCTTGTGCTTCGACATCAGTTTTGTCATGAACATTTTCGCTACGGGACGATTGTGCATCTCCAGAATGGTTCACCAGACCATCTTTTTTCTCACTCACATCAGTGCTCTCTTTCTGCAAACTGTCATCCTGCAGAGGTTGTTTGGATTTCTTTTGGCTTCTCTCTTCCTCGTTCTCACTATCTGATACGGAAGTGGATGACTTTCTGGTATCCAATCCACCATCACTTTCACTGTCACTAGACAGTTCAAAGTCCAAGTCATTTGTTGCCTTGTCTTGTGTTTGCTGCTTCTCTGTCACTGTTCTATCAACTTGTTCTGAAAAAATACGAGATTCTTTTGTATTTGTCAAGTCATTAGTGATCTCGCTGTCCGTTTTGCCACCAGTGCTGGCGTTTAAGGAGGCCTGGGCATCAGCTTTATCACGAGAGTTCATATCCCAGTCAGATATTCCACTGCTTACAGAAGTACTTCCATTTGCAGTGCAAGTGTCCTTTGTAGCTTTGAGACCATTGCTTTGTTCTTCTACACATGTAACATTCTTTATTTCTTCCACCTCTTTTGCAGATGTCACTGCTGAATCCAGTGCCTCTGGTTTTGTAGCATGGTTTACTAAGACACAGGAAAGAGAGACAACATTTTTTTTCCCCTTAAGCACAGAATTCACATATGCCATTAGACTTCACTATGTTTAGAAGTGACATCTAGGCTTTTCAAAAGTTAAGATACTTTAGGTGCCAATGATTACTAGAAAGAACTGGCAAACCTAACAAACTTCAGTAAAGAAGCTGTGTAAGCAGCTTTTCTTTTTAATCACACAGGTCACAGTTAACAAATAAGTACTTATGCAAACATTAAAGAATTAGTCTTGTAACATGAGTTTTACAATTACATCTCAGGGCAATGAAACTACTGCAAAGAAGAAAAAAATAATAGGGCAGAATTCACTTCAGGAACCACAAGAACTTCCTTTATGAACTTCCATTGCTTTCATATATTTCCTATTTTTTATAATCAAAATAACTGTATTTTAATAGTTGAAAAGATATACTTGTCTCAGCGATACAAAGATGCTGTTTGAGGCTCACTGAGACTCTGCTGGCATGCAAGTGTGCTGGTAAAAGGGTAACAGATGCAAAGGCAGAAAATTAGTTTTAGGGTGTGTCTTCAAAAGGAGAGAGAGAAAAACTGCAGACATCCAGAAGTTTGCACACAGACATTCATCATGACCACTGGATGAAGTCACTGTACTCTGTCTTTTACGTGCACATCCTTGCCCTGCCGGTCAAGTGTAGAGGTCCCATGTCATGGTGTCCCGATTCAGTCTGAGTACATTATTTTTGATTCCATATTGGACATCTTTAGTTCAGCAAGGGAAGAGTGATGTCACATATATTAAATTAAAAACAACCCCAACACCATGGCTAAACTGGAAAAAGCCCTGCAATTCTTTCTAAGCCTTTGTCTTTCAAATACATTTTTCCCAAAATTAATACTAACAGTGATGTATACCCTCTAAATCCATCTGAGTACATTATTTTTGATTCCATATTGGACATCTTTAGTTCAGCAAGGGAAGAGTGATGTCACATATATTAAATTAAAAACAACCCCAACACCATGGCTAAACTGGAAAAAGCCCTGCAATTCTTTCTAAGCCTTTGTCTTTCAAATACATTTTTCCCAAAATTAATACTAACAGTGATGTATACCCTCTAAATCCACTATTTGTATTGCTGAACGTAAGGTTCTCGTGTCAAATTCCAGAACACCACATTCAGTAGATGCTAAAAATCCCACATTAATTTTATTAGCATGATTTAGGCAGGGAGATAAGCAGAGATCAACTCACCCATTTTCAGATGCATGTTGATACCAGCATTTGTTAACTATTGCTCCAAAGTTGGGCAGAGAAGGGGACCAAAAAGGAGAAGAAAGGAATTTGGTTCCCTGACCAGCTACAGAGAAGAAAAAAAAATCTGCCTTGTTTTACACGGAGAAGGGAAGAGAGAACTGTCCTCCTCCACACATTCTTGAACAATCTGGTGTATTGCCACATCAGCTCTCTAGCCCTAACAGCCAAAATGTTATTAGAGTACTCCACTTTTGCTGTGGTTGTCCACCAAAAGGAAAGCCATCAACAAAAACAGTCCTGTTTTACTAAGCTACTTGCACTTGTGATGCAGGAGCACTCTGTCAACTACAACTGTAGTTGCTCATTTGAGCACAACAGCAACACTAGTAAGGCCCCACAGTGACCTAGGTCAATCGCATCTGAAAAGTGGCAAAAAGTTGTAAAAGCAGTTTAAAAATGGTATAGTTACCCTTCTTCTTCATTTGAATTTCTCTTGATCCAGGAGGTGCATTAATATCTCCTATCCCCTGGAAGTATACGTACTTCTTCACAGTTATCAAATTGGGTGCAAACTTCCAAACATCCTCTCGATCATCGATGATGCAAACCATGGAATCCCCACATGGGAAGAGATCTCTAAGAGACAAAACAATGGATAAAATGAATCCAGTTTTAGAAACCAATACTATCAATGAAAGTAGTTGCTATTGATGTTCTGGTTTATTATGAGCATGTCTGCAGGACATGCTTATATACGTACTTACCAAAAAAAAGTCAGCAATACTATAGAGATCAAAACACAATTATTTGAACTCAAGTTAATAAAAATAGAGATTTAAAAGTAGCTGTTTTCTATCACAAAGGCTAGAAGCAGGAACCAACAAGCCTTTGCAAGAAACATTACAACATTTCAGTCTAATTTTCAGTTTATGCTGATGAACAGCCCAAAGCCAACCAACACATGAACAATACACTACCTATATATAACTAGGAAAAAAGACACAAGAACAATTTTTAAAGAGTAGACTCACTCGGTCTAAGACAGAGTAAGCAAAAGGTAATAATACGTAACTGCCAAGACAGAGGAGGTAGAGTACTTAAATACACATGCATATGAAAACAGAGCAAGAGAAGAAAAAAAAAGCTCCTCATCTGCTATGGTCAGATGGGGAGAGAGCAATCATTCTTAATTTAGTTTTATGAAATACTTAACATGTCTGCCTTTAGGAAAAAATAATCTTGGCTTTATACTCTGTAAAGATCAGAACCTGAATTGAGACTAGAATATGAATTCAAGGCTCTAGATAACCTAATTTCAAGAAATACTGCAGAACTACTAGATGTATAGCACATTTGAAAGGCAGAATAAGACATTCAAATATGAATTAACCTCAAACTGAGAATTTTGGGTTAATTAAAAAAATCCTGACACAACATACAGGTCATTATACAAGATCAAAAGCCATAACGTGAAAATATGGCTGTTGTTACAAGAATGAAAATTATACCACTGCTTCACATTCTTACTAGTCTAGTACAACGGAACACATGAAGCAGATGCAATGCTGTAATACCCAGCATCTCAGTTTTACTGAGATGGTGCTGATATTTAAGAGGCAGATAAGGAAGGACTATAAACATGTTAAGTACAGAGGGAGTAATTTTTATTTAGCATATTCTGTCTCTCTGTTGTCCTGTTTTGTTTAATGCATAAGACCCATATACATACCTAAGATTCCCAGTTTTAGAAAATGGATCAATACATTCATCCCTTGACAATATCCGATGAGAAAAAAGCTTCTTTTCAGGGTCCAAAAATCCTTTTGGAAGAAGAAATTTAAAAAATTAATGTTCAAAATGTTTATTCCTTGTTTAGGTTCTATATAATTCTGCTATTTTAATCTGTGCAACAGCAGTTTAACAGACAACTAAGGTAAGAGATATTATACAGGGGAAAGGGTAAGCACAGTGAACTGAGTAACTAACGCAGTGGGATTAATTTTAAAAATCCCATCTTATTTTCTTCCAACATAGCAACAAAATTGAAATTAAAATAACTAATTTTGTGACAGCCAAATAAATTAGGCTGAAAGAGATACAGCAGGTGATAGATACACATGATTTTTGCAACTTACATTTATCTCTCTACAGGTGGTTCTTTAAACCTAATGCTCTCCTTAGCTCATTATGCCTAGGGACTGCAGAGAAGTGTCACAAGGGTCCACAATATGCTGCAATACTTAAGCACAATGGGCATGTTAAGGGACAGTTTCAGCCGGAGCTCTTGCGTTTGTAGGTTTTAAGTTGTACCTCTAACAAATACTTTAATGTATTTGCATAAAATTAATATATCCTGGGATTCCTAGAACTATTTAGGCCCAGTTGCAGTAACAGTCCTGACTGCACTCTAGAAGAAGAAAAAAAAAAAAAGACAAACCTAAAACAAAAACAGGAGAAGCTGTGCTAGTGGATCTTAAAGCAAGATAAAATGCCATTATTTAGGAATATGGTGACTTGGGTGTACAAACACATGCACATGCTTCTAAATCTAGCCTCCAAAAATGAGGTTTATCTTCATGAGCAAATCACAGCCACATAATCACTCAGAAAAAAACTGGCATTTGACATGCTAATCTGAATTTCTTCTTTTACTGAATTTGCACTGAAGTTAGCATCAACTTGATATTGTTCTCATGAATAATAACAGGCAGTCAGTTCTTATCCAGGAACAATTTTTTAAAGTTTTACTTTATTTTAAGTGGTGGCCATCTTACAGCCAGAACCACAGTTCAAAATGACTACAGACTCTAAGGACCAACTTTAATTTTCTTTCAAGGGGCTTTGAGATTTGTGCAGAACACATGTTCAGCTCCTTTCAGAAGTTCGGCTCCCAGGAGTATGTTAAGTCAGGTCTTCAAAAACAGAGGGTATTAAAAAAAGTCATCACTTCTGAAGAGTTGACTCTATATGTATTAATGTGTAATCGGACTAACTTAAAACCCATAAAAGCAAGAAAATTTGGAGTTAAGGACAGAGGTTCAACCTTAACTCACCCGACTATGCTTAAGAATTGTTGCAAACTCGCAGAATCATCCCCTGTAGTGAGACCCTTGCAGTACCTAGGCATAACGAATTGAGAGAATTAGCTACACAGATTTATTGCTGTACACACAGATATTCTGACAAACTACAGAAGCTGTCACACAAGTTGCTGTTCTCCAACCAAATTCTCTTCTACTTATTATCTGAATACACAGGGACTCTCTACACTAAACTGGACAGGAGCACACTGATTAAATGGTAAAACCACGATGAGGCCTTTGGTTGCAGTGTAGTCCAGCTAAAACTCTAAGGAAAAGGAAGATGACCCAAGAAAGCCCAATCACAAAAAACCTGGCTGACAGATTAGAGATGAGGTAGTGTTCTGGAGCTTTTCAATATGCTTTGGTAAAGACAATAATTTCAATACTTCTGTCCTCTTGATAATTCACTAAAAATACACAGAGGATACAGCTCACCAGAAACCCACCTGCAAAGCTAAAAACCCACCTGAGACAGCCGGGTCTTTCAACGATGAGCTACTTGAATAGTAATACAGAAAACACTGGTCTTTTAAAGAAACTACTTACATGTCAAACTGTTTGGTTTCTTTTGGATGTTGCTTAGCCAATTGAATCAATACAACACACATAATCCTGATGTCTTCACTTTCCAAGGAAATGGCAGATAACACTTCATTTTTCATACATCAACAGTATGTTAATCTTATCTTTAAATCTTTGAAAAGCTATATTGGCTATTCACTAACCTATTTGGCTATTCTGCTCCATGCAAGAGTAAACAAGATGCCTAGTGGCTAGAACACATACTGTTAACTAAAACATTAACATTTAACAGGTTTATGACTGCAAATAGAACAGAAATCAGAAGAAAGAAGTAGATGTGGATATGCCCTCCAAGATAAAACTAAGTAAAGGCTAAGGTTTAACTTCTTTATTAGAAAAATCGTTATCATATGGTTTTCAGTAACAAAAAGAACTGGGAAACCCTCATTATGAAAAACTCTACCTTCAAAATAAAAATCTTTTCACAACCTACACACTGAAGGATTTAGAATATGAGATTAGTACACTGTTTGGATATTAGCCTTTAATAATGAAGCTGCAGGTTCCAAATGGATGATACCTTCCAAAGTACTGGTGGCTTTTTCTATAAGAAAAACCAATATAAACCACCAAAAAACCCCACCTGTTTAGATGATGTCACTTTTCTGTGGGAGCATTTTGTTGTAAATTTCTATGACTTCGGAGCAATGAAAAAGTCTATATGTAAACTCATCAAGTACTCAGAAACAGCAGAAGTATTCCTGAGATGTATTCTTAACTTTGTTTCATTTATTTATTCCTATCCATTTCCCACCTCATCTCCTGAAAAATTATTATGGTGCCTTAGTGTTGATAATGAATTTTTTTAACAGATTTTTTCTTTTATTGGAAAAGTATCAGTTTACACAAATCATTCCAGAAGGACAAATATTGATGAATTTCTCATTTTGTCAGCATGTTTAAAAAAATCAAAGCCTTTTGTAAAAAGAAAAAAATATGGAAGACAAAGACTTGCTATTTCAAATCAAAGCTGAGCTTCCATTCATTCTCATAAATTAGACAATGTGCTAAGTATGCCTCTAAGTAATTTTTTGAACAAACTGAAGACCGTATCATTATCCTTTAACTACCCTATTACAAGGGACTATTCAGCTGACTTACCTAGCAGAGGCTACTGCCCCACAGTTGTTTGTTTCCCAGTATGTCAGACTGGGTCTTTGCACACAGAGTCTCATCAGGCTATGTTACCTGATCTTATGTAGACTCTTAGAAAAAGTAAACTTGGAAAAAGTAAAACTTGTAAAGTAAACTTGTAGGTAAACTTGTAAAAGTAAACTTGTAGGTTATATCACAAGATGCAACGTTCAGAAGCAACTAACTCCTACTGTCTCAAATCTTAGAGGCAGATTGGGTTAAATAGCAATTCCTAGTATGAGTGATATAACAGTAGGATCCAACATGAATTTGAAGAAGTCCTTTTAAAAATAAATCTAGACTTCAATTTCTGAAGAATCAGGTCACCTCCAGTTCTACTTCAGGTCTTGCATTAGGACCTGGAAAGAGCTATTGACTCAGTCTTTCAATAGCACTGGAGACCTTCAGGCACTGGTGAAGGCGCTATACATACACATGCATAGTCTGTCAATTCTTTACTGAAATACATACTGCAGTATGTTTGCTGTAACAAATCATACATATGAATGCCATCAACTTAGTCCTACTTTCTAAGTTCTGCTATAAATGTTGAGTGATTTCACATTGCATTATTGTCTAGTGGCCTATGAACTCTAAAATTCAGTGGCACTGACTTTTACAACTAGCATGTAAGCTGAATTGAGTATTAAATACATCAAACTTGTATTTTGCAGAGTAGGAGAAAAAATTAAATACCAATTGGTCAAAATAATTTTATAGACAAGAAATACTATAGGAAGATCTAGATTACAAAATCCAAAACATCTTCACAAACATATTACATTATACCACTTTAAAAATCTGTCAGATTAAGAAAGGGTTTAGGATAAATGACTTCAGCAGACATAAATGGTGGCTGTAAATATCAGCCAATCCCACTTAACAGCTGACAGGAATCAGTTGGGATGACAGAAAGAGACTGACAAGATGTCATTTGTTTGCAAAATGAGGAAAAAGCCTTCCAGGATATGGAAGAAGCAACTCAGGGTTCAGATTTCACAAAGAAATACAGGTTGTATATGGAGAACCTAAGAAAACAACCTTTTTCGTATGAAAAAGATTCCTTGCATTTTATTACAAGTCCTTCACTTAAGTAACACAGGGATAAAAGTAAAACAAACTGACAGCTTTTTATAAGCAATCACTTAGCCAATACTGCCATCAAGTGTTCTCGATGGGTATTAGCCATATATTTCTGTTACTGCACCTTGGTTACTCAGGTGAGTATGGAGGCCAAAGGCTGTATCAACCGTTTCTCCATACCAACATATTCCAGCTGAAACTATCATCACTGTACACAGAATCATAGAATGGTTAGGGTTGGAAGGGACCTCAGAGATCATCTAGTTCCAACCCCCTGCCATGGGCAGGGACACCTTCCACTAGACCAGGTTGCGCCAAGCCTCATCCAGCCTGGCCTTAAACACTTCCAGGGATGGAGCATCCACAGCTTCTCTGGGCAACCTCTTCCAGTGCCTCACCACCCTCTCCGGGAAGAACTTCCTGATGTCCAACCTACCTGCTTTCAATTTAAACCCATTATGCCTTGTCCTGTCACTACATACCCTTGTAGTTTCAATGCTTTTGATGAGGTTAGACACCTTCAGGCAAAATTCCAAAGTCTGGGAATGTCAGTAAGCAGCAATACCCTAATTTGCTCATTTGGTGCCTATTTACTCTATGGAACAGATGAAGCAGCTCAAGTACAATTCCCACAAAGCAGCTTGTCACATACTAAGTATCAGCCCGTGCCAGCATGGGGACTGCAGGGTAATCCAAATTTTAGCTCAGAGATTAAAATGAGCAAACACAGGACCAAATCACACATTGAGAGAAGATCAATCATTGGGAAAGTGCTTACACACCATGAGTTAACTATCTCTGCAATTCATTCTTCGCCGCGGCTCTGACCTTATTCGGTATACATCTTCTGACCTTAGGCCACACGCAGATTTTGGCACACAGATCCAAGTGAGGAAGATTGCCCACCCACTTCCTTACTATCAGGTATTTAGACCCAGTGTGTAAAAAAACCATTCCCCTTGCTACACAGGAAACAACCACTCTCTAAGAAGGACAGCAGGGTACAAAAGTGTTAGTGCATTAGCAGTACACAAAGTATAATCCAACAGTGAGGCTGACAAAGCTTTATGAAGATTCTTCAAACAACTCAGCCAATAAACACTGAGTAATGTAGAAATGGTCACTTGGATGGATAGGACATGTCCCTCCTGAACTTACTTTCAAGAAGAATTTGTTGCAGACCACAAATAGGTATTGTTTTCTGATTAGAGAAGTCTTACTCTTGCCATTACAAGCATCATCTGTGTCTTATTTAGCATGCATCACGAATTCTTTAATAAGCAATCTTTCCTAAACTGCTGCAGACCTAACTAGGATAGTTTAACTATTTTGGAATCTTCCTTTCTTGCCAAGAAGTGGGATCACTGGGACAGCATTGCTCAAGGCACTTGTGGCAACATGACAAAAACTGCAGATGCAAAAGACAACTTAAAAAAAAGGTAGAAGACAGAAAAGCATCAAGGACAGTTTGATGTGCAGAATCATAACCCACAGCATGGTTAATTATATTGTCTTAGTTTGACAGACTTAAGGGAAAGTCTGAGGTGAAAAAATGCTATTCTGTCAAGGAAGACTCAAGATGGGGTGAAAGCCAACTTTACAGTTTAAACACATGGTCGCACCTTAATATAATTTTGACCCATATGCTTGTGTAACAGAGTAGTCTTACTCTATGCTTGTTGGAAAAAACCAAAGCATTTCAGGCAGTGACCTGACTATCACTGTAATTTAAATGCACGTTTTCAGTTAGTAGGAGAAAATATTTAAGTTCCTGAGAAGAATATGTGAACGTGTTGTTAGATCTATGCTGTTCCTCAGGTAAGTGCATGTCAACTACATGACACAAACAGAACTGCTGTGAATTGATTTATAGCAGCCAAACTTCCTTTGGTGAAAGAAAACTGCAGAGGGCAAGGGGGCGGTGTTCCCCACAGAAGGAGATAATTTTGTGTTGTCAAATTTATGAAACTGTTGCTTTAGATTTTTAAGACCAGTGATGTTGCAGAACATTCCAGAGCTCATCAGCATCATTTTTTACTTAATTCAATAGGAAGGCACTAGTTCTCATGCCCCAATCTGATTCTCTAACTGTTAGGTAAGCAAATAAAGCACACATCCGATGGGAAAAAAAGTATTATTTCCGAAGTTACAGGCCACACAGTCAGTGCCAAGTAAACAAACCAAGAATTCTGCTTACTGGACTATTTAGGAAGTGGTTTTGCACAAAACAAAGAACAAATCCTTGCAGACAAACACAGAAAGAAAACTAGTTATATGAGTATGAAGGCTGATTATATAAATATTGTTAGACGTAACATACTACTCACCTGCAATTGTATGTGCATACAGTCTGCTGCCAAAAGTAAAAACATGTAATTCATACAGCTTGGCAATTTTTTCCAGGAATTCCTTACAATGAGGACGCAAACGAGTATGCAACATAGGCTCGCCTCGACCTAACTGGAAATGAAATATTCCCTAGAAGAAAAAGCAGGTTTCACATTATCAAAATCCCAAACAAATATGAACATTCCAGAAGTGCCCTCTGCTACCATTTCCACTACTTTTATTCCATCTGTCTAGGCTGAAGGAAGTTTCAGCCACAAAGCTTATGTGGATGGAGAAAATCCAAAGCATGCTTTTGCTCTGTGTCAGACAGCTCAACACTAAGTTTTTCAAATGCAGGAAGCTGCACTCTTGAGAAGTTTGTGACCAGAAACTTTCATTTAAATGTTTATTCGCGGCAAACAGAATTGAAAAAAGCAACTCAAGAAATTTCTCAGAAAGTTCAAGATCTCAATCCAATCAGTATTACTTCATTCAGGTTAGTTTAATTGCACAGAGCTCAGAGAAAGACTTTGTTGGATGGAAATATATCATCAGATAGCAAACCAGGGAGGAGGTTTGCAGATAGAGATCCCAGTTAAAAATCTCAAGATCTTTTTAAAAACGTTTTTCTTCAAACCATGCGTTTCTACAGATGAAGACACAGCGTCTCAAATATACAAGTTTTTTAATCTTTAAGCTGAACATTCACTGTTCCCTTTCCTCTTGGCTGCAAAGTACATCTGCAGTTTGTTTTTCCTAGCAGGTGTGAACACATGCTGAACCTACTGATGTGACAGAAGGGCGAGAGGAAATAAAGAGGAACTAAGGAACCGCAGTTTGCCTGACACTGGATTTTGGAGTTCCTCCTGTACAAGACACTGCAGACCCATTCCAACAGGCTTCTTGCTTTAAAGTTCCCAAATTGGAAATAGTACAAGCCAATAGTCCCTATCAGTTCAATGACAACGACAAGTGTTTAATGAAAAAAGTTAAACATGAACACCCAAACTTCCCCCAGAAAAAAGAAACTGAAAGGGAGGGGGGAAATTAAAAAAATTAAAAAAAAAAAACCACTAGACATTCATGGAACGACACTTTCCGTAACAGACCAGATCACCCAAAAAGGGAATTCAAACAGTATGCTGTTTTGGCCAGGATTTAATTTTTTTCATAGTAGCTAGTATGGCGCCACATTTTGGATTTGTGCTGAAAGCAGTGGTGATAACACAGGGATATTTTCGTTACTGCTGGGCCTTTTCTGCCTTTCACACCACCCCACCAGTGAGGAGGCTGGGGGTGCACAAGAAGTTGGGAGGGGACACAGCCAGGACAGCTGACCCCAACCAACCAAAAGGATAGTCCATACCATATGGTATCATGCTCAGCATATAAAGCTGAAGGAAGAAGGAATGGGGGGGGACTTTTGGAGTGATGGCATTTGTCTTCCCAAGTAACCGTTGTGTGTGATGCAGCCCTGCGTTCCTGGAGATGGCTGAACTTCCTGGTGCTCGGTAACCACCTGCCTGTTGATGGGAAGTGGTGAATTAATTCCTTGTTTTGCTCTGCTTGTGTTTGCAGCTTCTGCCTTACCTATTAAACTGCCTTTATCTCAACCCACGTGTTTTCTCACTTTTACCCTTCCAAGTCTCTCCCCCGACCCAACCAAGAGGAGTGAGTGGCTGCGTGGTGTTTAGTTGCCAGCTGGGGCTAAAACATGACAAACAGTAATTCACTTTATCCATCTCAGACTGGAGAGAGAAAAAAAGTCTCATCACTGAGTACTCAGCTTGTACTTGGTAGAGGAACTGAGTAGAGGAAGAAAAGCAGAGCTTAAAATTAGCTACTTGAAACTTCTCACTTAAAGTGACTGGGAAGAAGTGCAGAAAAGCATAAACGGGACAAAGAAAACCATCAATTTAAACGTAAAGAAAAACTGAACATATTTCAGAAGACATGTTTCTCATTTTCTGCCATTCTGCAACTACAATTTTATCTAACCACAGAATGTTTTCTTAAAGAACCAACATTTAAATATTGCTGGAAATATTCCTGTTACTTTGGCTTGGAAGTTAACATCAAACACTTACCTTATTAGACATTTGTTGGCAGTGCTGTTCTGTAGTATGGATCAAGGTCTGATCTAAATCTACCATGAGCACCAGTTTTCGATTTCGATGTAGTCGCTGTTGATCTTCTCTTCCTAGCTGCTCAGCTTGCTGTAACAAAATGTTCAGAACTAAGCTTAGAAGAAACAGATTAGATTTATTGTCTTTTGTGTATTTAAACTCAAGAAGAAGTTCTGCTACCAACTGAGTGCATAAGAAATGATGCTTCAACATAACTATAGTGATGGCAGCTTTGTCAGGAATTTTTCTACATAAAAAACCCAAAACCACTCCCAAAGTTTACTCTCACATCTCTGTAATACCTGTCACTCTTAAAACTGATAAATGCAACACAACCACTTCAAATTTCATAACTAAGTAACTACTGAATGAATTCAAGGCCAAGAGTCTTGAGAGGAAGTAGCCATAGCTAACAAAGGACAAGCTCAGTAGGTCTGAAAACTTTGGTTGTTATGTTCAGCAATTTCGTATTAATGAGGTTGAGTATTAAACTGAAGCTGCTAATAACAGAAGCGACTGTCACTGTCAATCTGATCTTAAAGAATTGTCGTGGTTTAGCCCTATCAGGCAATTAAGTCACTCTACCACCCCACACCCCACCCCCACCCCCGCCAACAGTGAGGAAGGTTGGGAGGAAAAACAAGAGAGGCTTGTAGAAGTTAAAAGCTATTTAATTATATAAATGAAACTTATGGTCTTTCTAACAATACTATTGCTAATAAGTAATCAGAAGAACAGAAAAATAGAACACATGATATGGGATCTTACCACCCATGGACCAACACAGCCAGATTCCAAAATGGCAAGACAAAGAAATCCAAATGGAGAGGAATGCCCCCCCCCAACCCCCAAGGTCAAGAGCCAAGGGTAGGGAGAAAGAAACTTCCAACGCCCCATCCCAGATCAATTCCCTGGCAAAAGACGGTCCTTCTCTGCTAATCACCTGTCA